CTCCCTCTCCCACTCCCCCTGCTTGTGTTCCCTCTCTCGCTGTGTCTCTCTCTGTCAAATAAATAAATAAAATCTTAAAAAAAAAAAAAAAAGCTATAATAAGACAGACATGGACAGCTAGAGATCAGTTCTAAGTTAGCATCTAAGCAAATAAGAATGTGTGTAGTTCAAAGCTATTGGGAGAAATGAGAAGTTAAAAAGGGATCATTTGGTGACTGTTTACTTAGAGAAGTTTTCATGAAAGACCAGGCAGGAGCCTTGGCTTTTTTGTGTCTCTAGCATCTGGCTCGGCCTGGCACATAATAGGTGCTTTAGTAAATGCTTAAATGAACAAACAAATGAATGGAATAAAGGGACTTGTGAGCTTGGTAACAAGGTAGTGGAGAGGGGTCCAAAAGAATTGGATACATGAAAGATAGTTTAAAGAACAAAAGAAGAACCTCTCTAGAGCTGGCAGGGGTTAGGAATGGGTCATTTTGAGGACTAGAAAGGAAGAAATAGGGCTTTAAACATTATCCTGAGGGCGCCTGGGTGGCACAGTCAGTTGAGCGTCTGCCTTCAGCTCAGGTCATGATCCCGGAGTCCTGGGATCGAGTCCCGCATTGGGCTCCCTGCTCGGTGGGGAGCCTGCCTCTCCCTCTGCCCTTCTCCCCCACTTGTGCTCTCTCTCTCTCAAAAATAAATACAATCTTTAAAAAAACAAAACAAAAAAACCCTCCATATTAAAAAAATAAAATAAACATTATCCTGAGTTTATTTAGATTCAGTTGTCAATAGTAAGTCATCGTAGGAAGTCATTGTGACCTGGTGACAACAGGATTTTTGGAGAATGAGTCAGTGAGGTGGGTAGTTGGAAGCACAGAGATCAGTCAACACTATTGTAATTCAGATATGAAGAGGGGAGTTTGGAAAAGAGAAAGGATTAAAATCAGAAACTTTGTAGAGAAGTCATTAGCAGACTATGGAGTGACTGTGGGAAGGTAGAAGTGAAGAGTAGAGAGGACCTGTCAAAGACAGGTCCCAAGTCTTTGAGCTTAAAAACTAGGTGGATATTGGTACCAACCCAAAGACATTGGGAAGTTGAGAAGAATCAGTCTGGGCCGGAGGAGGAGATACAGGCAGGTTGGGATTGAAATATTAGCAAAGAGAAGGTACACTATAGGCAATTCAAGATGGAGAGTTGGATTTGGAGGACCAAGTAGTATGCAAATAAAAATGCTTTTTTAAATACCTGACCTGACTTGCCTTTGGTTCTACCTTTCCCTAGATCAAAAATGCCCTGAGCTCTTTTCTCTTTTTCCACTGAATTCCAACACATTCTGCTACACCCAGCTCAAATCCTACCCTTTCTGTGTAGTCTTCCCTGACCACCCTAGCAGGATGAATTGTCTTTGTTCTAGACTCCTCAGTCATTATTGTCTCTACCAGCATTATTATTACTATTATAAAAGATTTTACTTATTTATTTGAAAGAGAGAGAGAGGGCGCCTGGGTGGCTCAGTCGTTAAGCGGCTGCCTTCGGCTCAGGTCATGATCCCAGAGTCCTGGGATCGAGTCCCACATCGGGCTCCCTGCTCAGCGGGAAGCCTGCTTCTCCCT